AGCAAAAGTGACACTACTTTGAACAGATTTGGGAAATCAGGTTGTTCCGTAAATATGGCTTGCCATTTTTCTGTGCAATATTATTGATGTAAAAATACTCTGAATTTCGAATAATCGCTTACAAAATTACGATGTTTACTTAAGGCCTTAAATAAAGTATTTTTGCGTACTTTGTGTGTCTTGTAAAGTATAACGTACGCACAGTCGAAATAGAGTGCAATACTTTATAATAAAGTACGTGTGGCAACCCTACCTGTAATCCACAACGGGTATGAATTAAATCCACAAACAACGGCGTCGTGAACATTACAACCCGTTGTCTGACGTTAAATGAAAAGATCTAAACTCACTTAAATTTAACGTGATAATGTTGGTCTCGATACAGTGAAATTTGTGTCGATGTATTTCGTGCTCCAATGCCGTAAACTCCATTTTCTAACCGATTTTCTCCAAGTACAATAAACATTAAGGGCGTACGCTATGCACTTTATCCAACTAGAATTTTCAACGTTGCAACCCGTTTAGGAGTAAACAGCTTTCGACCGCATTTACTGCATCGACCAAACTTAAACTAAGTCGACCGTAAGGCTTCATGACAGGAAATCGACAGATCACAACGATAGTGACCTTTATAGCAACCGATGCTTAAACTCCTGATGAAGGTAATTGTGAAAATGAAAGTTTTCACCCAAAGGCGATTGATGCCTACACTTTCTAACTAAATTGTAACATAATACGTATTTAGGTATTTATCAATTGTTAGATCGTATATCCCCTTTCAGATAGAAAGCTGTTTGTAAGTTTCCCAAAAGTAGGAAGTAGATACTCACGATAATTAATAAGTAGGTAATAGATATTCCTAGAACTAAATAAAAATTGCACCTCCAATTCTTTCTATCCTGAGATAACCTTCGCATTTCCTTAAAACTAGAACATCCCACATCCTTAACTATTTGCGAACAGTAATCTAATCTATGTCTACCTCTACTCCTCTAACTCCTGTGTCCTACCAACCTATCTCGACTAATTTTTATTGACTTCTATGAAGTCCTCTGTTCTTCCATTCTTTCTCATTACTTTCATTTCTAAACCTCTATCTACGGTATACTCACTGTTAAGTGCTAATAATTATCTATATTTTTTACAATCATTTTAAATCGAAAACTTTTCCGTTTAGTTAGATTTAGTGTTATTATTTACTTTATTTACATTTCTTTGGTCAGTTCAACTTCAAACATTTGTTCAAACATTTTAAGTCATAAATTCCTTTGCTTTATTATTTGGTTTTATAATATTTTAGAATAATTTCATTGTCATACAGACAAAATGTACGTTATGAATTCAATAATTCCTGGTAGCATAAATGAGGTTTTTCTATCACTAGTACCTGGCTTTGTTAGCTCATTCATACCTGTTTTCAGAACTTTTCTGTATCTGGTTGAACACCCTCTCGTCTATGACGACATTCAGGAAATTCCTTCATTTATCCACCACCATGATATGTTTCATTTAAACTCCACCCCCTTTGTTAGTCGTTCTCTAGTTTTTAAGTAAATTTAATATTGTTAGTTAGTATGTAAGAAACCTTCTAATTAAACACATCAACCCAATTTCGCTACTAGTTTTATTTAAAACATTCTAGTAGAACGGTAGTTCATTAACGCAGCTTCCGAGCGGTCTCCGGATAATTTTTTATCTTACGACTGCACAAAACACT